AAAGGTGGTTTGTTTTTGAAAATGCTCCATGTGCTTGAGAAAAATGTGGATTCTCATGCTGCTGGATGAAATATTCGGTAGATTTCTTTTAAATGCAGTTCTATAGATCAGCAATTTCTTTGTTGAGTTTTAGCCAAGTTGATTTATCTCATGTGGATAGTGGTGTGTTAAAATCCCCAGGAATTATTTCTTTGTATCTATATGAGACTTAAGGAAAAGCAGTGTTTCATGGATAAATTTGAGTGCTTCAATAGATGTTGAATAGATGTTTAGAATTTTAACATCCTCCTGAAGGAGAGATCCCTTAATTAGTATGTAGCAGCCTTTCTTATCTCTTCTCAGTAATTTTAATTTGAAGTGTATTTTATCCGATGTAACTATTGAAATTTCTGCCTGTTTATGGGGGTTCTTTGCTTGATAGATTTTATTCCAGCCTTTCACTTTCAAAATATGTTTGTTATTATGAGCAAGGTGTGACCCCTGAAGGCAGCAGACACAAGATTCTTACTTTTTAATCCAAGTACTTAGTCTGTGTCCCTTAATTGGTGAGTTAAGTCCATTGATATTGAGAGTTACGGCTGAATTTGTTTGGTATATTCTGCCGTGTTATCCATTGTCTTGGGGGCTGTGACAACTGGGTTCTTCCTATGATTCTTGAATTCTCAGTTTGGGTGCACTTTCTTTAGGCTTAATTTTGGTCTTGTTGGTTTTCTATGTGTAGGACATCTTTAAGTATCTTTTGTAGGGCTGGCTTTGTTAAGATCTATTTTTTCAGTTTTTCTTTCCTATGGAAGGTTTTTACTTGACCTTCAGTTATGAAAGACATTTTTAGTCTGGCACAGTATTCTTGGTTGATAGTTTAATTTTAGTGCATGGCATACATCATTCCAGGCTCTTCTTGCTTTAATTGTCTCTGCTGAGAAAACTGAGGTTATTCTAATTGGGTTCCTTTATAGTAGATTCATCTTTTCTCCTTGATGGCTACAAGGATCCTTTCCTTGGTCTAATTGGTCCTGTGCAGATTACAATGTGACAGTGGAATATACTGTTCTGATCTAGCCTATTTGGAGTTCTAGTAGCTTCTTTTTGCATGTTCGGGAAGTTCTCTTCTAGAATCCTGTTAAATAAATTGCTTAGACCATTAAATTCTGTCTCTAGGTGTTCCTCCACACACATTATCCTCAGATTAAGCCTTCTGATCCTGTCTTCCAAATGTGGAATATATCTATCGTGTTTCTTGGATTTGTCATGATTAGTTGTATGTTTTTATCTCTGCTATCTAGGCTGTCTTCAGTCCCTGAGATTCATTCTACTGCATGGTCTAACATACTGTCAAGTTTTTCTTCTGTTTTAATGGCCTTTTCTTCTAATTGGTGGACTTTTATGGCTTCCAATTCTTTGTTGTAGTTTAATTTTTGATCTTGTATGAACTTCTTTACTTCCTTAAGATGGTGTACAGTGTTTATTCTGAAATGACTTAATTGATTGGTTATGGTTTCCTTGTACTCCCTTTCCTTCTGACGAGCTCCATTCAGCATTCGATTTGTGGTCTCCCTGGATTCTTCCAGCTGTCTGTTTATGTATTCTATGAATGCCTCTATTGATCTTTGTCTTTCTCATCCCGCTCAGCCAATTCCAGTATTACTCTTTGATTAACTTCCTCAAGCTCACACTTCCTGAGTTTCTCTTTGGCTGTCCTCAGCCTCCTCACACAATTCCTGTATTTCTCTTTGAAGTTCTTAACTGTTCACGCAACCCTTTTCTCTTTAACTGTTCTCAGTCTGCTCATGCAATTCTTATATTTTTCTTTGATTCTTCTCAGCCTGCTCATGCAATTCCTGTGTTAAACTTTGAGTGGCTTTCTAACACTCTGGAGACTACTGTATTAATCTCTGGTTTGGCTCTTCTTGCTCCTTATCTTACCGAAGCCTTTGCAGGTTTTTAACTTTTCATTTACCACATTATCATGTAGTGTTTGTAGAGTTTTTTTGGGATCTCTCCTCTGTATTATGCATTAACTGTTTGGTCACCTCATTATCATGGGTGGGAGTTGAGATACCCGGACTTGCCATTTTTCTTGTATTTTTTCCAGCTTTTTCTGCCCATTTTGTATGAAACTAACAATAGTTTTGTTTTAGAGCACTATTTTAAGGCAAGCATCAACCAAAGTCCTGTAATTGCACAGTGAAAATGGCTGCAGGTACAATCTAGTTAAGCAGATATAATCTATTGAACATCAAACAACCATGGATTAAAGAATTAAGAAGACAAAAGAGGGATTCAGCAAACCAGAAATTATTAGGTTTAGGGATAATTGTGGGAAAAATAGGATTAGAGGGATGTGGATGGGTAAAACGATAGTGAAATTAAAGAAATCCTAATCTCAGTGGGGAAATGGAATGGACAGAATGATAGGAGTGAGATAAAATAAATACAAGAAAAATGAAAAAAAAACAAAAATTTAAACAAGAAATGAAAATGTTCAAATTATGAAAGTACAAAGAAATCATATTGATAAAAGGAAAGGATAGAATGAGAGGAGAGGAGAAATAAAAAGGAACATCAAAAACGAAAAAAATAAAAATTCTTAAAATTGGAATACTTGAAAGTTATATAGGTAAAAAGACATAATACTACTATTAAAAAGTTAAGCCTAAGAGGTTGTGAATTGGGTAATCCATTTCTGGATTAAGTATGTACACAATGGAAAATAGGGTCTAATAATCGATGACGGGTGTATTTCTGGGGATAAACAGAACAGCAATTAAGTCATGTAAAAAAGAAAGAGCGAAAAGAAGAAATAAAATGAAAAAAGAAAAAAAATAAAGAAAAAAAGGACCAAAAGGTCAAAAGATATTACAAAAAAGCACTCAAACAAACATATACACCAAAAATAAAAATTATGAGAGAAAAAATAATAGAAAACATTGCCTTGGATTTTGTGATCCTCCCCCCAGTCTAGTTCACTGAGAGAGAGATATGCTTTGAGTATCACAAAAGAGGGAGATGGCTATTTCCTCTAAATTGGAGATGATATGATAAGGGTAGGTTCAGGGTAGGGTTGAGACCTATCATCAATCCTGAGGGCTAGCTCCTGAAAAATTCACAGAGCCCAGCCTGGAGCCATTCTCAGGGTTTATGCTTACTGAGTTTCAATTACTTGTCTAGGCTGCTGTGGGGAGGGGTAGATTCTGGCTGTTGCCCAGTCAAGAAAGACACTTCTCTGGGGGCGAAGCTCTGCCTGGGCAGGTTTAGCTGAGCTTGACAGGTCAGCTCAGGTTCCTCAAACCTTCTAAATAGCTGTTTCTTTATTCTTCCAAGGCCTGAGTTGGAGCTAGATGCTTGACCAGGCTTTTTTCAGTATCAAAGATGGAGATCTCTGGTGGAAGGGAGGGGTAGCCTTCTCCCAGGTGCTCATCAGGAGTGAGGGGGTCATTGTTATACTCATGCCACACTCTTGGTTCTTGGGCCATCCATGGTCTTCCATCCTCAGCAGGAAGATTTCTGCTCCTTTTCAATTCTTACTGGTGGTGAGTAGAAACCACTGGCCCACAGTGCCTGGTACCTATATTCCAGAGTCTGTCTGTTGGTATGGTGGCCACAGCCACCACCTCCACTGAAGCCACTTCAGCTACAGGTATGAGCAAGTGCTCAGATCTATCTCCTGGCTGGACTTTCCCTCTCTGGACAAACTCTCTGTACTGTGATGGTACACTTGGTGTGAGTCTCTAGCCTAGGACTGTTCACTGGAACACTAAAACTGCATTCTATGTGAGAGTTTGTTTATTCTCCAGCTACTCTTCCGCTATCTTCCTCAGGTCTTCTGACATAAAAGAGTTATATTGTGGGGGAGGGACACTCAAAGCAACAAAAAAGTCATGCAGTACCTTATCAATACATTAGAAACAATAGCAAGAAAGAAAAAGAAACATTTCTGTTCTTATCTTGGGGTTCATTAGTGTTTCACATCATCTTATCTGACCTTTTTTGCTTGTCTCAGACATATATTAGTTATTGGAAAAAAAGGAAACCATGGGACCTATGTTTCTTTGGACCTGGCTTACTTCACTTAATATTATTTTTTCCAAGTCTTTCCATTTCCTAACAAATGGGGCAATGTTATTCTTTCTGATGGAGGCATCCAGCATTTTTACCTCCTCTTTAATTTTTCCCCTACCATCTCTGCATTCCCACCTCCTTAACTACACTCATTTATAATGGGTCATTATAAAGGATCATTTATAATGATCCTAGGTACACAGCTTTAGAACATTTCTGCTTCTCCTAAATATACACTAGCTTTTACAAATAAGGGAATCAATGGACCTATGTTTCTTTGGGCCTGGTTTACTTCAATTAATATATTTTTTTCTGTCTTTCCATTTCCAACAAATTGAAGAATATCATTATTTCTGATGGAGGCATAGAATTCCATTTTGTATATATTTACCACATTTTCTTAACCCATTCTTCTACTGAGGGGTTTCAGGTTTGCTACCATATCTTAGCTATGGCAAATAATGGTGGTAGCTTTAGTGTGGTCTTGTATGTGATCATTTGGATAAATGCACAAAAGTGGGATTGTTGGGTCATAGAAGAGCTCTATGTGGAGTCTTTTGAGGAACCTCTATACTGCTTTGGGACATAGGTTGACTCATTGTAACAATAAGATATACAAGACACTATGTTGAAAATTAACTTTACAACTTTAGCTTCGTGGAGGGAGGGGTAGAAGGGAACAGTTGGGGAGATGGGGTGGGGAGAGATCTTAGGGGAGAAACTGTGGAGGAAGTACCAATGCTCTATAGGGAATATACTCATTACCTTATTCATATAACTGTAATCCCTCTGTACAGTATCTTTACAATAACAAATATGTATTTTAAAAAAAGGTTGTACCTATACCGTGGTGTCAAGCCCATGGTAGATATCCTGCCCAATATAATCTAAAAAGAGAAAATTTGAAAATGTTTCTTCATATTTGAACTTTTGTTATGCAGAATCATCCTGATATTGCTGCCAAATTGGCTACTTGTCCCTTTAATGCTCACCACCTGGTTCCAAGAGATCAACTCAGTGAATATATTGCAACTTGTATGGACAAAACTTCCCTTGAAGATGATGTAGGTAAGCCTGATAACTAAAATACAATTCTAATCAATGTAGGCCATTTGCACCTGTATCCTACTGTGATGCTAGTTTTCTCTTTGTTTGTAGATAACATCATATGGAACGAGAAACAATACAAGAGTTCTGAAAGTACATGGAAATATGTTTCCTCTGAGGATGACTGGGATAAAGGTAAGAAGCTTGTTGAACTTTCTGCATTTTCCATTAATGAATCTCAACTTATCTTGTGCTGTTTTATGATTTCTTCCTTTAGGAGTGAAATTAAAAATTCTTTGTTCACCTTGGATTGTCTTGTATGCTAATATCAATAACATACATGAACATATGCAGACTTAACTGAATAGAAACCATGTCAAACATTTAAATGGTGTTTTCCACATGACTAAGGGCTCATTCTTTTCAATCTTTATTATCCAGCTAAAAGTTTCTTGGAAGGCTCTTAAGGCCATCAACCTTGTTTTTTTTTTTTTTTAAATCAATGTATAATGTTAGACTAATCTAATATAGCACCTCAATCAAGTATGTAATTCTCCCTTTGGCAGTATCCTTGGAAGATCCTAGCACAAGTTTTGTTTGGGGCACAATCAAATCAACTGGCAACAAAAGGTAAAGAAAGTGGTTTGTTTATGATATACTATTGTTTCTTAAAATTCAAAGTAAAGAGATAGGATAAATGAATAACAAACTTTCTGATCTATATACCCATATATTTTGCTCACTACCAATGAAGTTTTGGATTGCTCTTTGAACTGATGAACCTGTGATTGGTGGCAAACATCAAGTATAGCTTCACTAGATCTGATAAGACATGCAATCACCCAAATTACTTCAAAACAGAATTACCTTATATGAATATTCTCATTCTCTTATAATCAATTTAAATCAGGGAAGCCATAGATAACAGAATCATGTTAGGCCAATCTTTTTATAACAATTTTCATGATTTCAGGATTCACTCATCACATCAATTATGATAGTGTAAATGGCAGTATCTTCAACTGGTTATTGATAAATGTACATACTTATGGGTGGGTTACCATGTATTCCTTCTGAAATTCATTATTGTATAATATAGGAAGGACTAATTCAAATTTTCTCCACGAATTAGTATAAAATATTTGAGGAGATAATTGAGATGGTTTACAATTTCCACTTGGCAAAGATACATATTAATAAAATGTATTTAGAGATATTTTTAGCAGTAATACATACATGGATTTCATATTTTATGTTCCTGTATAAACTATAAACACACATTGGATATGGTATAGATTGGAAATATAAAATGAGATGTCTAACTACAAAAGTTATGCTATCTCTTAGTGAGTATATATGAGATGATTGTTTAAAGAATTTTAATTGCTAAAATTAACTTGTCTTCTAGAGTCACAAAATAGATTATATTTTTGATTTTATGGAATTTGAAAGCATCACTTCTCTCTGACATGGTAAGATGGCATATACAGGAAAAAGTGAAAAGTAATTGGGTTTCCTTGGAATTGTTCATAAGAATTTATATAATTTGGAATCATGTAATTTGTCTTGCTTGCCAATATGAGACCTCTTCCTTTTTATAAGTGAGACAAGAGATTCTAGATGTATTGATAATGTTAAGAATTTTCCCTTGTGGTCTGAGAGAATGCAAGGCATAAGTTCAATGTTTTTGAATTTGGACAAGTTTGCTTTGTGGCCTGAAATGTGGTCTATTTTGGACAATATTCCATGTGCTGCTAAGAAAAACGTGTATTCTGATGCTGTTTGGTGAAATATTCGATAGATGTCTGTGAAATCTAGTTGATCTATGCAGTTGTTTAGATCTGTGGTTTCTCTCCTGCGTTGTTGCCGAGTTGATCTATTTAGTGGGGAAAATGGTGTGTTAAAGTCCCCAACAATTAATGTCTTGGGATCTATGTGGAATTTGAGGGAAAGTAGTGTTTCTTGGATAAATTTGGGTGATCTGTTGTTTGGTGAATAGATATTTACAATTGTAATATCCTCCTGAATGAGAGATCCCTTACTTAGTATGTAGTGACCTTCTTTATCTCTTCTTACTAATTTTAATTTGAAGTCTATTTTATGGGATGTGGACAGAAGGGAACCTTACTGCATTGTTGGTGGGAGAGTAAACTTGTTCAACCACTTTGGAAAGCAGTATGGAGGTTCCTCAAAAGACTCCACCTACAGCTTCCGTATGACCCAGCAATCCCACTTTTGGGCATTTACCCAAATGATCACAAACAATGCCACACTAAAGCTACCAGCATGACTATGTTTATTGCAGCATTATTTACCATAGTTAAGATATGGAACAAACCCAAATGCCCCTCAGTAGATGAGTAGATCAAGAAAATGTGGTATATGTACACAATGGAAGTCTATGCCTCCATCAGAAAGAATGACATTGCCCCATTTGTTAGGAAATGGAAAGGCTTGGAAAAAATTATATTAACTGAAGTAAGCCAAGCCCAAAGAAACATAGGTCCCATGGTTTCCTTTATTTGCAAAAACTAGTATATGTCTGAGTCAAGCAGAAAAGTTCAGTAAGTTGATTTTAGGGAAATGAACCCTAAGTTATGTATTCAAATGATTTTTTCTTTCAGCTAATTGTTTCTAACACATTTATTAAGATTATTTCTTTGTTGGTTTGTATGTCGGTCCCCCATGGTATAACCGCTGCTTTCACTGTATTTGATGTTGGTATAATTTGTGGAGGAGAAGGGATAAAAACAAATCGTTTAAATAGGGATAAAGGTGGATCCATTGCAACAATGAGATATACAAGTCGTTATGTGGATAAACGAACTTTACAACTTTGGTGGGGGTAAGGATGATTGGGTGGGGGGGGAAGAGAGGAGGATGGGAAGAGATGGGAAGGGGAAACAAAGGAGGAGGCTACAATGCTTGATAAGAAATGTACTCATTATCTTTCCCATGTAATTGTACCCTCTGTACAGTATTTACACAATAAAAAATAAAAATAAAATAATATTCTTCTCTGATGATTATAGATTAAAAAAGCATATTCAGCATAAGACTGTGGAGAGCTGCGGGAGCCGCGACCAAAGACGGCGTGGCCGTAAGGTGCGGCCGCAAAAATGGCGCGGCCGCATGGCGCAGCTGCGACCAAAGATGGCGCTGGCTCCTGCCTACCGTCTTCCCGGTGACGAGTGCTCTCTGTAAAAACAACTCCTTATATGGCTATGACTTGGCTCCTAGTTTGCTTCCGTGTTTGCAGCCCTATCCGTATATGCCACGTGGCGCTTCGGGATTGGCCATCCAGGAGGCTTATAATCGGAGCGCGGGGACGGAGGGCAGGAGAAGTGGGAAGAAGCGGGCAGAAGAAGCGGGAGAGAGGATGTTGTAAAAGGTCCTGAATAAACCGCCTGATAGAAGAACCTGTTGTTGTGTCATCCTTGCGGGTCGAGGCGGTCCCGACATAAGACCAAGGTGAAATTATGTGAGCCTGTAATCACGGTCAGGCCTCATGTATTCTTCCTGTGAAAAGGTAGAAAGCATGATAAGTATTTGTATACAAATGACTTCTGTATGTCAAACATATTGATGAATTGGCAGTTTATGTAGTGAAGAAAGTGCTGGGATGGGAAGGTGGCTCAGTGGTAGAGTGCTTGCCTTGCATGCTTGAGGCCCTGGGTTTGATTCCTCAGCACTATATAAGCAAAAAAGAAAAAAGCCGGAAGTGGCTCTGTGATTCAAGTGGAAGAGTGCTAGACTTTAGCTGAAGAGCTGAGGGACAGCGCCCAGGCCCAGAGTTCAGGCCCCATGACCGGACCCCCCCCCCAAAAAGAAAAGAAAGTGCTGAGGTGGAGTAATAGTAATAGGTAAATTCAACCTTGCATCTGATGACAATTTGCTAATTCATGAAGATTATAGAGAATACTAAAACTCATCGTGTTTAACAACCAGAGCAGGTCAATTTAATTTTTGATCAACAGAATACATTTATTCTTGGGATAGGGAATTTCTCACCCTCTGTCATGCAGAGGAAAAGGAATATGTCATGGGAAACAATTTTGGGGGAAGAAAAACACACTTGAGCCAGGCCACATGATAATGTTAATTCTAGCTTTTCACATGTTTGACAGATAAGGATCTAATTATAGGTTAATGAAGTGAAGGATTTTTTCAGATTCATTTGGGTAATTAATCCCCTCAAAATTGAATGCTATTGAGAGCATTATTCCTAAGGAAAACCGTGGTTACTCATAGACTTGCAGTGTGCATGAATGTTGGGAATAAACAAGCTCAAAAATTACCAGTGCATTCTGGATAACAGAGAAAAAAAAACCTGATGAAAGTTGCTTAGGGACCTGTAGGATTCTGAGATCTGAGGATCAGATTTCAGGAATATTTGTCACACTCTCATCACCAATTAACCATCTCAAAATTGGAAGTGGCTCTGTAGCTCAAGTGGTAGAGCATTAGATCTCTGAAGAGCTCAGGGACCTTGCCCTAGCCCAAAGTTCAAGCCCAATGACCAACAAGAACAATAGCCAAAGACAGGAATGTAATGCAGTATTCATCAACAATGCCCCATACTCACTGGTATTTCCAAAATCTCTGAATATTTTATTTATTTTATCTAACTCTGATAGATTTTATTCACTCCCAACTTGTAATATCATGTATTTTCTCTCTGAATTTTAGAGAATAAAGTTTGATGGGGCAGTGATATTTCCTTACTACATTGGATATTAGAACACTTAATGTGACCCAATGGGATTACAAATTCTGTTCTATATACTAATATGTCTTACTTATGGAATCATACTTTTTTTGGCATCTAAAAAGTAGGTGATACTAAAGAACCTGTAAATTTATGAGAGAATCTGTGACATTTTAGGAGACAATGCTACTTGTTGATTGGTCTTGTCAAGATTAATCCAACCCTAGCTTTGCCATTATATATATATATGTGTGTGTGTGTGTGTGTGTGTGTGTGTGTGTGTGTGTGCTGATTTGTGTTTGATCAGATATTTCTCTTACCTATCCATTTGTAGATGCAAATTTTGTGTCTGTGTCTATACAAACTGAAATGGTGTACATTTTTTCCTACTCTGTTTCAATACCCATAAGTCATGCAGTGCACATTACTATGTTTATTTTTTATTGAAAAGTGAGGATATTTTTCCTGCCTGCAATTCTTGATTTTACTCAATCATGATAAAAATTAATCACAGGTTATCACGAATTTTTTATATGTCTTCTTTGGCAATGAGTATTGAATACTTGATTGGTTCATTGATAATCAAGCCTCTTACCCCTGGGCTCGATCCAAGTGATATATTCCACATGTTGATATGTTTCTGGCATAGAATTCTCATAACCGTACATATTTGAGAAATCAGTGTCAATATAACAATGTTAGCCTAAGTTAATGGAAATTTTCTGTTCATTTCAAAGTCCAATATTTCACTGTTCTTACTGAGAGGTGTCATACATATGTGTCTTAAAGGTTAATTATTTTTCCCAATTGCTGAATATATTTACCCGATACCACTTTACAATGTAATTGTGACTTCACAATAGCATTTGTTTTGGCCACACATAAGAATGGAAAATCCGTTTATTTGTTTGAGCCATGGAATATTTCTTGTAATTGTACCTGAAGCTATTTGTATGGTATCCCTTCATACTTTACTTGCCTATCATAAAAGCCTGCACCCTTTGATAGGATATAGCCCATAAAACAATCACTCTTTGTGATTTGTATTTATGCATCCGTTAACAAATATTGAAATGGAGTGTTGATTTAAGTTCATTGCAATAACATTATGTAGTAAAACCACTATGGATTTTCTTTTCTGTACAACCACGTGAAGTATTTCTTCCTGTTTTCCTGGATGCATGATACATCCATGTATATATTAGAAGACACCTAGTTCAGAAACTGTGCCAAGACATGGTTGAGCCTGAATGGGTGACAATAGAGTAAATTTTGAAGAACTAGAAAATAATCGCTGAAATACTAGATTGACTAGGGTCACACTTCAAATGTTCAATGAAGTTTGTGTGTGTTAAGGCAGAGAGTGTCAAATGTTATTTGTGAGGTTTGTACACAATGATCAAATTTCACTGGAAATGGAAGTGGGAGTAAGCATGAAAATTTTTGAAAATAATTGATGATGTGCTCTCATTCGTTTTGAATATATCTTGAACTGCTAGTGAAGTCTCGTAGAACAGGTTGAAACTTTCTCATTACAAATGCACAAATACATCAAGTCAAAGAAAAGTTCGGCTAACTATATTGCTTGAACCGACACATATTCTTTATAACAAAGTACATAATTAAGTAGGTAAATAAAAATAAAAAAGAGTGGGAGAAGATCTACACTAGCCAAAAAAGAGAAAAGGGTTTTAGGGCTGAAATATAAACAAAATTCAACAAGTCAAATACCACCCCCCCCCCCCGCAAAGAAAAACTTGAACAATAACCTCACTCTATATTTAAAGAGACTTCACTGATGGCTAATTGACAACGGCCAAAGGACAGAGGGAGAAATGATCAATGTCTCTGACAATAAAATCAAGCCAAATGATGTCAACACTGAAATTCCACCACATTCCTTTAGAATGACAAAATTATGTTCATTCCATAGGGAAAACTAGGAACCACCAAAGATGCCTGAGAGCAGATTAATGGATCAGAAAATGTGGGATATAAACACAATACAATTCTATTTTCTATTAAAAATAATGGCATAGTTTCATTTGTAAAGAAATGGAAAAACTAAAATATATAACATGAATTAAAGGAGGCCAGAACCAAACAAACATAGGCTCCAAGGTTTCTCTAATTTCTAAAACTGGTATATGTCCATTTTAGTCTTAGAAGAGAATCATAATAGCTTAGTAATAATATACATATGACCATAGAATATTAGGCTAAACAAAATAAACTCTTTAATACAAAATCAGTTGGTTTATCTTTCTTGACTTTAAAATTCAGTTTGTGAAGGTATTTCCCTTTACTTTTTCCTTTATTTTCCTGTTTTGTACAATGTTGTCATTGTATTTGATTTTGGTACACACTGTATTCCACATAAATAAAAGAATTAGGCACGGCAAGGGCAACACCAAATCTGAAACAATGGATAATGGGCAAACGATACAAGAACAATCCGAACAGAACTATATTTTGGGAATAAACGTTACACCTGGTGGGAGAGGATAGAGATTTGAGGCAAAAAACAGTAAAAGTGAACAATGGGTAAAAACATATGATGAGACAAGTTCTCATTCATTGCTTCATATGTGATTTATATCCCTCTGTATAACCCCTTTACTAGAATCCATTAGAAAGTAGAGTATTGATACATACGCTCTTCTCAATTCTCATAAGTTTACATGTAGTGGATGGGTGTGTATTACATATACATATGCATGAAAATAGTTCTGATTTCTTGACATTCCTAAAAGCACACAGGTTTTCCTAGGTCACCAAGTTTCAAGCCAACATTGACAAATGAATGTTGAAATCATTTTTGTTCAAATATTTCTGTAGAAATCCAAGTAGTCATTTGAAATTGCAAACCAGGAGATCATGAAGCACAAATATGCTCCAAATCAGAAACCCTCATATTTCACATCTATCATAAATGTAAGCAAGACTTTGCCATGTGAAACTTCCTAATCTGCAGTCAAATACTTCATCCCTTTTGATTACATAGGAATCTAACCAGTAATAAATATTTTTTTGGCCAGGGAGATATTCCTAAATGTACTTGAAAATTTATTCTATTTAGTAATAGGAATGTTGTGGACCAAGAATGCCAAATGAACTAAAAAAATGGTGGGGGAGTGCATAAATATGAGGGCCAATTTATATGCAAGTCAAAAACAAACATTCATTAGATATGGTTTCATGAATTGATCTTGAATTACAATCCAAACTTTCAGGTTAAATTTCCCAGAACATTTTAGTAATATAGCTGAAAATTTCTCAAACGATGCACAAACTCTTGTCTGATATATCACAGATAATCTGTACAAAATATGGTATCTTCAAAGAGGGCACATTGTCCACAAAACTAATGTCGGTTGTTTATAGCCGATTCTCTGTACAAAATATGGTTATCTTCAAAGAGGGCACATTGTCCACAAAACTAATGTCGGTTGTTTATAGCCCTGTAGCAATCTATTTATTTCCTGCCACAGACAATGGGAAGAAGTCACAGATTTCTTCTGCCGATTAAATGACAAATGAAAAATATTGAGATGATTTAGAATCTTGGGAAATACGTTGCAAAGTTGGGTGGTTTAAAAAATCCATAAAATTTTCCTACCCATTCTTCTTTGTGTAACACAGAAATTAATGGGAAATTTGTATTAGGAACCACATATCATTTTAGTTTTTTATTTTTATTTTTTAAATTTTATTGTTATTATATTCTACATTATTAATAAGTGAAATGGAACATATTATTTCCATACAAAAGTAACTATTTTGAGGGGTCAACTTACATTTTGAAGTTAGGAAACAGTCCTTTCCTCTGGTTTCTTTTTCACCCAACAACCTAGGCATGCTAATGGGCATTAGGCTAAATCCAAGGTGTCCCTGAAAGACTCACCTTTGGCTTGTATGCCTTTTAATCCCACATTTTGTTGGATTGAATGTTCTCCAATTAGGCACAATTATTCATTGTGTAAAATAGTCCAGATTATTGGTTCCCCCTAAGATTAGAAAGAAGCTGAATCATGTATATATGCCTTCACAATTCCCTGTAACTCATGTCCCTGTCATTGCTGGACAAAACAGTCATATAATTTTTGCATTCTCAGGAGAGACTTAATTCCAAATTTGTTGGCATGTCAATATTCCCAAAGATTCCTTTGTACATTGGTAAATACCTACTGTCAGTAAGATGTACATGGAAGACACTTGATAGTACATAACACATTGTTAAGAATCAAGGTATATGCAGGAAAAGGCCATTAATATCATACATTCTCCCTCACATGGAAACCCCTTTGTAATGAGATTGAGATGTTTTTTGAAGGAAAATTTTGAATTGATAGAATCTGAACATTGGCAAAACTCTCTATACAATTCCTGCAAAAATGTCATCTCATCATAAGGCAGTGAGTAATTTGAAACACTTCTGCCAAACACTATGCTTTCTAGACCTTCAATATTACACAGAAATATTACAAATGCTTCTCTTCTGGCTTTTTTTTGTCTGTCTTGGAGTTTGTACTGTGAGCCTGCGTGTTGTCTCTGCACACTGTAACTCAAGGCTTAAGCTCTGCCCCTTGAGAGAGATTGCCACTTTCAGTTTTCTGGTGATCATTTGGAGAAAAAAAAATCTCATGGACTTTACTGTCCATGCAGGCTATGAAACTTATCCTCAGATCTCACCTTCGTGAGTACTTAGGATTACAGGCCTGAGTCCCTGTCGCTCAGCTGTTCTTACTTTTCTCTAATGAAATACCATAATAGTAACTTTAAAATTATCCACAGATATTTAAACAACATCAAAGAAATTTCACAGCATCTTCAAAGAGAAAATTTGCAATGAAGTGTCCCAGTCCACTTTGATGTCGCTTCCTCCTGAAGAGGAAACCCAGACATAAATGAGGAAGGAAAAGGAAAATGATCAGAGATATGTAGATCTAAAATCAATAATAACTACATTCACAAAATATTGAAGATGTTGTAGGAAAATCATCTTTCTTTGGACAACAAAGAAATCATCTTA